GGCAATCCTACTTCCGTAGTGATACTGCCTCGGAAACCCAAGGAGGGGTCGCTATGAGTCGGGGCCGACTCGATGGCAAATAACAACAACAACAGCAAGCTATTGCTACCATCTATTCTGACCAAGGACAATAGAAAGCCCCAGATAGAAAGGGAGAAAAATGTGGATCAAAACTCAGATTCCTAAAGAAGGCCAGACTTACATAACTGATAGAGACTGGAGGAACCTCTGAAATTATTGCCCTAAAATACCTTTTGAACTTGGATCTAAAGCCACTCTTGGTTGTCACTTTTATCCAAATAATAGATTGGATTGTGAAAGAAATATTATCACCCATGAATACCATGCTACCTTAAATAATCATGAGACCAAACAGTGAACATTTACCCTAAAACAAAGATAAGATTAGATAGAGGGGCAGTGAAGCTAGATTAGCAGAAATAGAACAAAAAAATAGAAATAACAAGGTTACTGACACATTATGAAAAAAAATGTAATCAATATATTGGAACAAGTTGTATAGAAATTGTTAAATGGAAACCTAATTTGCTATGTAAACTTAGCAAATTGTAAAACACAATTAAATGATTAAAAAACAAAATACAAAAACAACTTACTACACATCCAGTAGGATAACTATTAGCAGGAAAACAGAAAAGTTTTGGTGAGGTTATGGAGAAATTGGAGTTTTGACATTGCTGGTGGAAATGTAGAGATGTGGCTGCTGTGGAAAACAGTTTCTTGATCCCTCAAAAATTAACCATAAAAATACTATGAAAAAAAAAATAATGAAACTCACTGCCATCGAGTCAAATCCGACTCACAGTGACCCCTCCTTGGGTTTCCAAGGCAGTATCACTACAGAAGTAGGTTGCCCAATCTTCCTTCCGAGGAATGGCTGGTGGGTTTGAACTGCCAGCCTTCTGCTTAGCAGTCAGATGCCTTAGGCACTATACCAACCCAGCAATTCTTCTTCGAGGTAAATACCCCAAAGACTTGAAAGCAGGGACTCAAATAGATAACTTGTATACCAAGTTTCACTGCAGCATTATTCACAATAGCCAAAAGATGCAAACAACCCAATGTACATCAACAGATAAATGGATAAATAAAATGTGGTATATAGGAGCTCTGGTAGCATAGTGCCTAAGGCACTTACTGCTAACCAGAAAGAAGGCTGACGGTTCAAACCCACCAGCCACTTCTCGGAAGGAAGGTTGGGCAATCTAATTCCGTAGTGATACTGCCCCAGAAACCCAAGGAGGGGTTGCTATGAGTCAGGTCTGACTCGGCACATAACAACAACAACAACATATACATACAATGGAATATTATTCAGTCATAAGGAGAAAATGAAGTTCTCATGCTATGACATGGATGGGCCTTGTAATTATACTGAGTGAAGTGGAAACAGAAGGATAAATAGTGTACAATCTTACTTTCATGAAATGCCTGTTATTGTTAGGTGTCCTGGAGTCATTTTCCACTCATAGTGAGCCCATGTGACAGAGTAGAACTGCTGTGTAGGGTTTTCTAAGCTGCGATCTTTATGGAAGCAGATCTCTGAGTCTTTCTTCTGCAGAGCCTCTGAATAGATTTGAACTGCCAACCTTCTGGTTAGCAGCTGAGTACTTAACTGTCATGCTACCAGGCTCCTTTATTTCTCCCACCTTATGTGTTTCCTGGATGATTAGCTGCTCTCTAAGGCCAAGCAGCTGGTAAGACTTCTTGATTAACTTTGCTTTTCTGGTGTATAAGAAGCAAAATCCACTCTTCCTACTGATGGTAGAAAATAACAAGATAATCATAGTAATGATCAGCTGATGTCATTTTAGACCTAGCAGGAGCAGATTATCTGTGACCCAGATAAAATAATCAGAAATTACTTCAATTTAAAAATAGTGGATTTCTAATCTCATTCCCAAGGTTAAAAAATATCTCACCACAGCCAGATGTTTCTGTTGAACAGACTAATCTGAAGCCCCATTTTAAAAGATTACTTTAGATTATTTTTAGATTTAATTATAAAGATCACAATAAATGAGTTTTTGCATTTTTACTAAAATTAGCATTGAAGTTGAAATGTTATTTTCAAAGTAATCTGCTGTAGACTGCCCCTTTTATTTAGGGGACAGGTTATTCTGCTTATTCCTTATTTAGACTGTGTAGCCATTTTGTTATTGTTGTTTCTGAGTGAAGTGGGTAGTGATGGTGTCATTAATGTTAATTGGTTTTGTCAGAATTTCTTACTGAGTGGTAGGTTCACACACAGCCAAGTAATGTCCATTCTGATGAGCAGCAGTCCTGGTGGTGCCGGGGGCTTGTATCAGTCGTGTTTCCAGGCACTGGGCTGGGAGAGAGTTCATCCAGAAGCACTGGAACAGCTGGTGCAGCGCATTCTGGTGAGCCTCTGACAGTGAGCCATTGTATACCGTGACACTGCTCTGACAGTTTATCGAAATTTTGTATACAAGCATTTTGTTTGCTGGGCACCGTGGAGTTCATGTAATAGCTGAAGCTTTTGATTGTGTCTCGGGAGTTTGGAGCTCTTCTCAGTTGTGTGGGGATGAAGTATTTAGTTGCGGTTTTTTTTTAAAAAAGGCTTTTAAATTCTCAAAGTAAAATTTGATGCTTTGCTTTTTGCCTTTGGTCTCATAGGTAGTATTGTTGGCCACCATTTGAATTCCTAAAGATAGTTTAAACCCTGTTTAAATTAAAAGGGGAACATACTGGTTTTTCCCCTAAATACTAATGTTTAACTTGCAATGTTTACCTAAATAAATATAGAAAGAATCACAAAGGTGACTTAATTCTGACTTGGTTATCTTATATGATAGAAATTATCTTATGTTCGAAATGTTAAATCTGTTTAAATGAGATTATCCATTAAACAGCAGTTTCATTAGATGATTAGTGGATTTATCTGCTTTTTACGATATACCCAGAATATAAAGTCTAGAGATTATTAATCTTTATAATGAAATTTTGCCAAGTATCCCACTGAATACATGTTGTAAATTAGCAGCATTCAGCATAATCTCTTTACAATTATGTTTGATCTGCTCTACTTCAGATCAGCATTTCAGATACGGAATTCATCGCTAATTGTGCTGAACCCCACATATACTTCAGTGAAGCGAGGGCTCTCTAGTGTTTGCTTTCCTTCTTGGATCATAATTTTATTTAATAAGAAGGAAATAAAGTATTTCCAATGTTAATAGTATATGAGATATCTTCTAAGTAGCTTTTTAAAACCTAGAAAAATCATTAAAATTTAGAATCAGTTTTTTCTCATATATTTTTTCATGCCACATACTTAATATTTGACTGTAATGTTTATTTGAATTTTGGATATAGTAGAATATCTATAGGAACTATATTTTTTTCTACCAAGGAATTTAGGAACAGACTAAGTTATATTGCATTACATTCTTTTAAAAAGTATTTTGCCTGTCACTTTATTTTTCATTATAAAAAACACCTTTTTGGGTGGTTGTTCAAGCGTAATTTTCATGTATAATTGAGATGTTATATCTCCAGATCCTTTCAGAAAACGATTAGTAGGTAATATCAGTAACAAGTCCCACTACTTGCATCACTAATATCATTACCACTGACATAAGTAACAAGTACCACTAGCATTTACTGCGATATTATTATGGACTTTAACATATATTAACTCAGTAATCCACACAAAAGGAACCTAAAGTCATAGGCACAGTGCCTAAGACATTTGACTGCTAACCAGAAGGTTGGCAGTTCAAACCCACCAGCCACTCTGGAGAAGGAAGACTGGGCAATTCTCCTTCCATAAAGATTTACCACCTCAGAAACCCAGTGGAGGTCACGGTGAGTCAGAATCAGCCTAATGGTTTGTTTTTTAATCCACACAACAACCTTTGAGTTAAGGTAAGGTAATTTGGAAATTGAGGTACAGAGATTTAGTATCTTGCCTAAGGTTATGTAACCAGAAAATGGCTTGACAGAGTAGTATGGGAATCATTTGGGCAGAGATCTCTTCTTAGTTCCATGCCTGGTTAAATGTTTATGTGAATTCAGATCCCAAAGAGGACAACTGGTCCTCTGCTGCACGTGGTGCTTAAAGAACCAGTCTTGTTAAATCAGCGGTGTAGACATGCTCTCCATTTCCTTTAGAAGTTCACACTAATATGCTGAGCAGAAGTGTGCTAGGAAGTCAAGCCAAAATTTCTTAGATGTTGTAGAAATTAGTAATAGATAAAACAAGTATGTAGTTTGCAGTGTGTCCTAAATAGTGTTTTTAACTCCAGATTACATCATCAGAGTCATTGAGTTGGCTAGGTATATGAAGCAGAGTTAGAAGCACTGACAAGATCTATAATAAGAATAAAGAGTACAAATGATCACTGAGGTTAGATTGAACTGTCTTCAAGGAGTTTAGCTGATAGACTATTCTTATTTTCATGAGGCCCCCAGGTCTTCAGTTTCGCATGTCTAGACACTATTTTGAAAGTGTTTCCAGGGTTAGTCAGGCCCAGAGGCAGTGTTTCTTACTTCCAGACTCAAAAGAAGTGGTTATATAAAACAGAGTTGACTGTTTATTCCTTTATGTGAGGTTCTCAGGTGTGTCAAAGGATTCTTTAGCATATTCTCCCTTATGACAACGTATGTGGCAAAATGTTGCTTGGTGTAAAGGAACTAAAAGCAGAATGAGTTAGTTTGATAGATATGTCATCAAGCTATCTATGCCAAGAGACTGAGTTCTTAGGTCTGTTAATTAGGAAACTTCTGGAGATATATTCTGTTTCTTTGCCCTATCCTATCTCCAGTTTTTTAATAGCCAACTAATAAACAACCTCCCTCACTCTTTCTGCTAAAAACTTTATTTTTTCCCCACTCCAGGTATAATCTAATTAATTAAGATCCAGATTCTTTTATAGTCAAAATATTTTGTTAGACTGCCCCTCAGAGAGCATATCTTAGGGTAAGATGAACCATTAGGAAAAGATAAAGTATTGGTTGGTAAAATTTATAAAATATGTATTTCTGTAAGTCTTGCTCTTTCTGGTTTATTTATTTAAACAAACTTTTAGTTTTTAAAATAGAAACACTTTTTCATACATCTCTTTAGTTATATAAACTGAGGAAAGCCTTACTTATTTTAATCATTAGATCATAAGCAAGACATAAATACTATCTGGAAACAGATATCCTAATTATAGACTATGTACAGTAAAAACTTGTTCCTTGGAGAAGGAACTTTTCTGAGTAGCTGAATCTTACATATAATTAGGAATTTACAGATATATTGTAAACTCCTCGAGGCCAAAAATTATCTTTTTGATCCTTCTCTGCTGGACAGTGGAGGTTTTACACCATTTTTTATTAAATAAAACTGTCAGTGCCAAAATCTGTTTAAATCATTTTTCATCTGTTTTTTCCTAAAACATTCCACATTTTCCTGCCTTACAGAACAAAGCAATAAGTTTATTAAACCCAATTTAGTGCTTAGGAGTTACTTGTGGTTTTTAGTGTTCCTGCTTGTAGTAACCTCTCTCTCCTCTTCTGATTTACTGTTTCTGGTCTACTTGTGAATGTGATAGTGTAATTGCTTGTATTTCTCTAAGTAGTTGTATAAGCTCCAGTGCAAACACTTTTGCATTGTTTGTATTTAACAAATCTCTCTGGCTGCCTAGCACAAATTGTACTTTTGGGTTGCCTTGCAAATTCCTGTTCATAAAGTGATAGTACACGTTATACCCTTTGAAAGAACAACCATTGTCTTAAAATGATTTAATAGGCAATATTCTGGTTACTTCATGGAAAAAGGTACTAGGAAGGTATCAAAAGAACTTGGAAATAAAAGGTTTTTCCATTCTGAACTCTAAAGTCTTTACCTCAGCACAGTATTTAAAGTTGTTTCTTTTACTGCTGCAAATAAGTTTCTCAAGGTTATAATCAAGTTGTATATGCCTATGTGGTAAAAATTTTCCGTAATATTAGCTGGTTACAATGGACTGACCTTACAACTGTCTTCCTCATTCTGAAATAGATCTCAGTTTTTAAGTCTTACTCACAACTGTGATTTCTGGCCATTCATACACCTTACCTGACCATACTTCTTGACTTCTGTCCCTTCTTTTCCTTTGCACCTTTGCAACACACTGCCTTAATTGCTTTGGAACAACCTGTCCCTCACGAGACTCTTAAGAAATTTAAAATTACTTCTTTCACTTCCTTTGTAGATATGGAAACTGGAGACCCAGTTTTCCTATAAACCCTAATCAATAGTCTTATATATTTGCAGACTGTATTTTCACAATGTAAAACAATGTTTGGGGAAACTTATGCAACAAAGCAGAGAAAAGTTAATTATAGATAGAGTTGTCATTGGATACTATGACTTTCAAAGCATAATAGGAAGATTAATGGATATAATAGAACATGTATTTAATCTGTTACCATCACATATCCCTGGAAAATCTGGTACAGAAGATCTATTATTGGTCATTAGGCATCTAAAAAGAGCTCTGGTAGCATAGTGCCTAAGGCACTTGACTGCCAACCAGAAGGCTGGTGGTTCAAACCCACCAGCCAAACCCACTAGCCACTCCTCGGAAGGAGTGATACTGCCTCGGAAACCCAAGGAGGGGTCACTATGAGTCGGGTCCGACTCAACGGCACATACCAACAACACTACAGGCATCTAAAAAATAAATTAATTTACCTTTTGTCTGAGCTAGCTATTGTTATTCAAATAATCATGAGAATTGAAGTATCAACTATTCATTTAATTTCTGTACAGTTTTTTTTACACTAAAGGTGCTTTTTATTAGTATCACTGAAAAGAAGTACTACTGACAAAGCAGTTGGAATTTGAGGTGCACCACAAGTGTTTGTATGAATAGTACTGTTTAATGAGTGTACAGCCCAGTTTTTAATCAAGGTATTAAGGTAAAAGAAAGGGATAAGAGGTGGAAACTCCTCTAACTTTTCTGTATATATAAAAATATATATTTCCTTGTGTATGTCTTTATAGTACTTTAACATAAATATGTATCTAAAAACATTATGTAATTTGTTTTGATTATTTAGATAATATCATAATTTATCAAATAGTAGATCCATTATTATCATAAATTAGCATATCTAGAAGCTATCTTCTGTTGGTTGGATTGTTTTTCTTCCATATTTATGTCAAAGCCTTAATAGTTAACATGCCGTAAGAAATTATATTATGAAAAGTGATTTTTCTTTTGTTCAATGAAATAGTTTTGATCAAAGTACACTAGTCAGTTGTCTTTAATTTCAGATTAATAGATGTTGTACTATGGTGAATTCATAGATCAATTTGTTGAATTTGTTATTATTTACAGAAATTCAGACCAATAGCATTCTTTTACTCCTGGCAGTTTTCTGCCCAATATTGTCTTCCAAATGTCATTTTGGCATTTATTTTTTGATGCATATTCACAGACTGTTGAATTGAAAATAGATACTAGACTTTTAAGGAATTATCAAGAAAGCAAGTTTAATGAAAGGTTATGTTTTAATGGAGTGAGAATCTCACAAGTTTTATGAGGTTCTGTATTTGAATGAAATTTATTTAGCCTGATGTCATGTTGATTCTCTTTTTCCAAGGGAATTCCAGAAATATGTGTAGATAATTTAAAATTCTTAGTGCCTGAATATAATCTGCTGTAATCTTCAGGCTATCCTCAGGGTGAGATTAAAAACATCACAAAATAGATATAAAATAGAGACTTGAGAACTTCCTTTATCTGAATATGTATTATTATTTTTTTAATCTTTAATGTAGGATACAACATCTATTGAAAAGATGTCAAACTGTTGTGAAGAAATGTAAGTATAAAAGTGAAATCTATAGTATTCTCATTTAAAGACTGGAACAATGGGCCACATTTGAGAAATAGAGAAAATAATGTACCGGTCACTGTTTCTTGGTTCCTTGTCTGAGGCCTAAGCTAGACAAGCATTCCCAGACTTACAGTAGGGGTCTTCTAGCTATGATAGTTTCAGACAGCGTAATACTGATCATTCTTATTTCTTGTCTGATTACAGTAACTTGAATTATTTTTCTTGAAAGTACATCAAAAGAGATTTGCTACTGAGTTGCTGACACACATTCTGTTCACCCAGAGATTCTCCTCTGCTTCAAAAGTTGCCTTAGGTTGATTGACGACACAGATACAGTATCTGCTAGCCTGAGTTAAAAACTCAGCTGCAGGCCATAGTGGGAAAAAAAAAAGCTGTATTTGTGATGCTAGGACACAATTCATCAGAGTCCAGTAATGGACGCCCAGCCAACCTGTATTGTTTTAGCTGACTGAAGTACACCATGGGAGTGCTGTCTTTCACTAATAATGCTGTCTTCTGTAGATCAAGGCCCCGAAAGCCATGGCAGCAGACCTTCTCAGAAGTTTTTGGCACTCGTTGGAAGATCCTGTGGTTCATTCCTTTCAGGCAGAGGCAACCACTGCGAGTTCCCTACCACTTTGCCAATCACGTCTAAACAGATGGATGGTGGGCACAGATGGGTCGTCCATGCTGGAAATGCGTTACAGGTTTTATGATAATAGAACGATGACAGTCTTCAAGTCAATTAAAATCCACCCACCAATCTTAGGCATCACAATGTGCCCCAGGCTTTATTTTAATAGTGATCTTGATCCTGTTGTGGGACTAATACTCTATCTATATTTAAGTTTTAAAGCATGTTTACTTTCAAATTAGCTTTCCACAGGGATTTCTTTAAATGCTTTTATTATTAAACTCAAAAGGCAGTGATTGGGATGAAATTATTGTACATAATTTGTTTTAATACTGACAGTGTTACAGATTTTAATTTATGGGAAGTTTCCAATGTTTATTTAAAATTTTCACTCTTAAGCAGTACTAACCAAATCTGAATCTATTCTCCAAGTTTTACAAAAGTTGATACACATTCTTATATTATGTGTAAAATTGTCTCTTCTAATACAATTTAAAAGATTTAATACTTCTTTTTATATATGCTGCAGGATTTTAAAAATATAGCAAAGGAGTAAGCAACATGACAAAAGACAGGGTTTTCTTAGATGTGGTTTTCTAATGTTTCCTCCTTTTCCCCTTCATCAAAACCAAAATAAAAGTACCACTAAAATAAAATAGCAACTAGCTACTTTATTTTAAGGGAAAGATTAAAATATTTTCAGCATTAACTTTCCTATTTCTTTCCCTTTACTGTTGTTATTGATGTTAAAACATCTGCTCCAAGGAGAAATTTGTGACCAGTGGACATGTATTGCTATTTGACCCTGAGTTGGATGGGCACAAAGGGTAAAGAATTTGCAATAACTCCAAATAAACCTTTCTAGTGCAGTTATATTAGAATGCATATGTTTTTAAAATGCTAATGTAACAATGCTAATGTACAGTACAAAGAGGAATATTGTACTTTAGAAATATATATGTACTTTTCACTTTTATTTACCTACTAATACATCTAAAATTACATGTTGAAGGTTTATATAATAGGTATTGGCCAACTAATATTGAAACATTTCTTATATAGGAAATTACTGTTAAAAGTAAGTAGACAATATTTGTGTACCTATAATTACCCGAATTGAAAGTAAATTTTAATTGGCCAACTATAGTTTGGGTTGAGAGACCTTTTAGGAATTGAAACCTACCAGCCGGACAATCTACTTTCATAGAGATACTGCCTCAGAAACTCAAGGAGGGGCCAGCTGTGAGTGTGGACCAACTCGATAGCAGTGAGTTTGGTTTTTGGTGAATGTTAGGAAATGACCTTAAAATGAAAAAATACAATGATCTGTATTTATCGTTAGCCTTACGCAGTTTTAAATTGCTAATGGTGATGGCTTCTTGGAAAGCATAGAACATTTGTATGAAAAGATATTTAGCGTGCATTGAAAAAAGAAAATCAGGTTTTTATATTTTTTTTCCATTAGAATACTGCAAAATACATACATCTTTTTTTTAATGTATATTCACAGTATTTCACTTGAAGATTAAAGAAGGCTACTGTTCTTGGAGCATGTTGATGTTTTATTTTCAGTTAATTTTCATTGTAAGGATTCACACATGGAAAATCATGAAACAGGAGGTTACATTGGACAGACAGTTAACAATATTGTGGTTAGTTCTGCAGAAATTGTATATATCTTCTAAAATATTATAATAAGCTCTTGTCAGAAATAATAGCACCCATGTTTTTCATGTTCTGATTGTAATGCTTTATTACCAAAAACTTAGAAGTAGCAGATGAAAGTATTTATTGGTGCTGATAAGATGCATAGTAAATTTAATAGGAGAAGTATATTTATAAAGCTTAATGAAACACAAAATTAGTATGTTTGTGTCAGGCAAGTCAGTTGAGTTTTGTGTGAGCCAACGTATTGACTAAATTTGACCTGGTGACCAAACTAATAGTTAGAAAGAAGTAATGTATAGATATTGTAGACAGATAACAGTTGAATGCTTTATGTTGTGTGCTTTCTTTTCAAATTAGGACCTTGAGGAAACAATGGGGCCCAGTGAAGACTCCCTAAATTGCTGTGTGGATATATTTATACTTTATGTAGTAACAGAAGCCACCTCAAAATGTACCGGGGAGGTACTCAGTGCCAACCTGTGCCTCAGTTAACAAGAGCCCAAGATAGACCCTTTTCTGTATTGAGGTTTTTGCGTGTGTATTTTTTGTCCAGGAGGACTTACCACCTCTAGGGCACATTCTCATCCTTACTTTTGTTACTTTACCCTTCCTGGCCCTGATCCCTCCTGCCTGATTCCTCTAAATTTCTGGACAACAAACTGATGTACTAAGCAGATGATGTGTTTATTTTGTTTTAATGGCAGAAATGCTACATACCAATTTATTTATGTAATAATCTATCTATACTCCAGTATATCTATATGTACTTAACATTGTAACTTTTAGTATTCTCAGGTTAGTACAACTAACCCTATTTTGGGGTGTGTAATTCTTGTTAGACTGCCAGAGAGAAACTGACTGACAGTTTCCTAGGGAGTGCGTAAACTCCTGTGTTCTCTCTGCGCCCTCTTTTGGCTAATTAATGTAATTTACTGGCTTGAAAGAGTTATTGCCCTGTAAGTGAACTGTGTAGCCAAAATCTAAAAGTGTCAGAGTTAGAATTTTAGCAGGATTATATATACAAAAAAATGTAAAACTTTTTGAAAATGGATGTGTTCCTATGTGTGATATCAATTTTTAGTTCATAAGCATGTGATGGGTGTTTACTTCCTTTATGCATATTTATTACTTATTTTTGACTAGCAATCAAGATTAAATCAGGGTAAGCTAATGTAAACCATTTAATAAATTTTATTGTAGACATTATTTTAAGAAATCCTTAGAATTAGAAAAACATTTTAAAGTTACGAATTTATTATAAAACAAAGAAATTCATTATATTTGAAATAGCAAGTGGGTATCTACCGTGTTTTATTATCTAAAAAATAAGTTTAATTTTTTTAGCTCAGTTTTGGATTTTTTTTTTTTTTTTTTTTTTTGCTGACTCTGTTGCCTTAGAATAACTAATCAGACTGATGATTCTTTCTGTACTTTTTCTTTTCAGTGTTCTTTTTTTTAAAAAATTTTACCAGAGTTACACCTGTAGCTTTAGTAGCCAATTTATTATATATTCTGGATAGCCATGAAAATCACTAAAGGTGTCAAGTATCAGAAAATAATTATGAAAAGTGAGATTGCTGATGTAACATATATATATATATATATACACACACACACATATATATATATATATATAGGGCTAAAATACTCTTTATAAACACTCCAATTTCATATTAAACAAAATGTACAGTAAAAGATGTTCTCCATCAGTGAAGCCATTTTTGGGCTTCTGAAAAAGAAAGGTTTTTCTCTAGATACTGCACGTTACACCTACTAAACAAGTGTATTTTCTGTTGTTCTTTTCTGCAAACAAAAATGTTAATGGGCTCAAAATTGTTGACAAAATTGACTGAGGTCAGAATCCCCCAAACAGTGGACATTTAGTTAAAGAGCTCTCCATACTTTGTAACCCAGACTTAGTTTGAAAATACTAAATGAGCTGATGTTCCATTCTAAGAAAATTACTATTTTGCTTAAAAGTGGTATTAAAAATATTTTTGGTTAACTTACGAGGTACTTAAAATTGTAGTTACTTATTAACCTTTTGTAGTAGAAGAAAACAGTTTACTTTTAACAGTAATGGAAGTAGCATAAGCACTACGCACACATAACGTTCAGTATGACAGCTTAGTTAAAATTTCTGTCAGAGTTAACGTTGGTGCATTTTTGCTAATGTTTAGATGTATTTTTCCTCTAAGAATGGTGGCTAATTATAACTCTCCTTTATCAGACTTTATCAAGTCACTTCTACACAGGTAACTAGTTGCTTAAAAATGTTTTACCCAAAATGTATTTAACATAACTGCTAATTGTGAAGACTTAAGGTAGGACAACACTTCCAAATAAGGAAGAACAAACTAGATTACAGAGACACATTTTTATATATGTTAGTCATGGAGCAGTTTCACTGTCCGTGTGTGCATTACTATAAAATCACAATGTGTCAGGCCCTGGTGTACAATGGCGTTCATATTCATTAACAAAGCTGCTGGTATTTCCCTGTATTTGTCTCTGGTCTCTGATTTCCTCCCTTGTACTTCATGTATGAATAGATGACCTCGCTCAAGTTTACTAAATTATATAGCTACTTCAATATATATATATATATATTTAATATCTTCTCTAACATATGTATTTATATTTAGAATTTATTTGGTAAAGTTCTCCCTTACAAACTTTAAGTAGTATACTAATAGGTACAAGTATTAGATTTTTACCTGGTTGTTCTACCATTGCTCTAGAAAAATATGTATCGGCTAGTGTAGCTAATTAAATGATCATATATGTTCAGTATGTTCTACCTGCTAGTATTGCTCATCATATGGCTAACTAAAGAATGCTGCATTATTGAAGTCCCATATTTGTTATCTTCTATTCTAGGGATCATGCTCTGGATTTATCTATAAATCACAAATTTTATTATGTTCTGTATTTAGCCATTCTCAGTTGAATTCTAGAACACCATAGAATGTGAGAAAATGATAGAACCAATTTGTTTGAAGTATTTTGAGTGTATGTTGTTATTTTGTGTACCAGTGAAGATTTGGCATTTCTTCCAGCTTTGGGATAGTGATAGCTAAACTTCAGGAAAAGTGCCTGTTTTCTCTGACTCCTTTTATTACATTGTGCATTATTTAAAAACAAAATCTACTACATTTTTGTCTGTTCTTCAGATGTTGCAATACTGCCTGCTAGTGTTAATTTGAAACAAAAATAGCAATGGTGTTTAAAATTCTTAGGTTATTGGAATTTAAGTGTTTTCCATTATATTTTTGACCATCAAAATGTCCTTTTTCTCTTCTAATCATAGAGGACAAGGACAAATGACTAGTGAATAGCCAAAAAGTTGGTGG